TCCAATAATATACAAAAAATATCATTAGATCAATATCATTTACAGATCCAAAAATATACGTTTTTTAATTTAAAAATTCCCAAAAATTTTAGATTTTTGGCGTTTTTTTGCCAAAAATGTGTCTTAACTCTTTTATTATTAAAATAAAATTTTCTTTAAGAACATATAACAATTTTATAGTTTTCTAAAAGATATCTTTACGCAGAACGCTTTGGCGTAAAAAAACTTGTCCTATTTTTTGAAAATGTTGCCACTGCGTCCTTCCGAATATGACCTATTTTTTATCAAAACTTCAACTTTGGGCGACATGTTCTAAAATCCCAAAACTGGGATAAGAAAACTGAAAGCAGTTTTGGAAACCTCAATATGTTTTCTATTTACTCCAAAAGTATTTTCCCAGCCCTGAAAGAAATGTGGACCCTATGGGCAAAAAAGTAAAAAATCCCATTTTTGGGATTTTCATTCCTATTTTTGGGAATTGCGGGATGCCCTTTGACCTTTTCAATTTTTTTGCATATTCTTATTTGAAATGACAAATTTAACAAGCGTTGAAAATTTCATTGAGTTTTGTTCATAAATAAAGATTTTGTCATATATTACATATTTGTTTAATTTCTAAAACTATGATTTATATCAAAATTTTAATAGGGTCGCAGATAGCTACAACAATTTAGTCCATATTTATCCCTTAATATCATTTTTTAGTTAGATATGGAAATTCTCGACCCTTTACAAAAAATTTCAAGCCAATATCTCAATTACATTCAAAAATATGTTCATTTAAACCTGTGTCCTTTAATTTCATATTTTAGTATTAAGTATGACAGAACATATTTAAATCTTATATTTACCTATTTTATATTTGTTTGCTTATCCTTATAATTGAAAGGTCCTATTATGCTTAAATTTTCAAAAATGTATAACTATTTTTTACCTAAATTTTTTCGACAGATCATTTCGTTCTGTTTCGTTTATGATCATGTAGGTAAAAATATACAGGTAATGATAATTTCGATTCATTCACTAATAAGAAATATCAATGACTGAATTACAGGTTATAGTAATATAGTCCTAAATGTTAATAGGTTGACAATTCGTAATTTTTTACTTTGGAATACCTGTATCGGAAATGACAAGAATTGGTATATAAGTAAAACCAACTCCAACATCATAATCAAATTTTACTGAAGAGGAAGCAATAGCGCTTATGTTGGAACTGGGTCTCAGTCGAAATAAGTACCAAATATTAAGGAAAGCTCTGCATGAAAAAGGACACAATATATTACCATCATACAAGGCGATCCAGGAAAAAAAACAAACTATCCTACCTATTGCTGTTAATGATGTGGAAGCTTGTATTGATATATCATCTTTGCTCGAAAACACAGCATCAAGAATTGTGTCAGACTTTTCAGAAGACCAACTAAGGAAAATTCATAACTGTGATGTTGTCTTAATATGTAAGTGGGGATGTGACGGTTTATCAGCACTTCCAGAATACAAACAAGCTTGTGGAAGTCGGACATTAGCAGACTACAAAAGTGTATTTATGTCATCATTAGTGCCATTACGAATTCGTTCATATTCCCTTAATCCATCATCGTCAAGCATCGGAAATTCATTTGAAGATATATGGATCAATACAACTCCGGGTTCAAAAAATTTTTGTAGACCCATTGGATTTGAACATATAAAGGAGTCAAAGAAAACAACAAAAGATTTAGTGGAATATTTAAAAGATGAAATAAATGCACTGGAGCCCATTTGCATAAAAATAAAGGAATTCTCTATTAACGTATCATATTAGCTAAGCTTAACAATGATTGATGGAAAGGTCAGCAATGCCATAACAGAAACTTCTTCCTTCTGGAGATGCTCAATATGTAATGAGAAAAAGTCGCAATTCTCAAATATAAACAAAAGCGGAAGTATTAATGAAGAAGTCCTGTCTTTCGGAATTTCACCACTTCATGCCAGAATACGATTTTTGGATTACTTTTTACACATAGCATACGACCTCAAATATAGAAGTGTGCCAGAGAATCTTACTAAATCAACAAAAAATAATGAAGAATTGAAAGAACTGAGAGCTGCGGAAAAAAGCAGAATCCAAGAAGAATTTAAAGTTCAGATGGGATTAAACATGGACAAACCACTTTCAAGTTGCGGTAGTACAAATGACGGTAATACGGCGAGAAGGTTTTTTCGTGATTTTGAAATTACTTCAAAAATAACTGGAATCGACAAGGAGTTGCTTCGAAGAGTTAACACTATTTTAATGGCACTGAATAGTAAACATAAAATTAATGGAAATCGATTTGGGGAATACACATCTGAAATTTCTAAATTACTTGTATCTCTGTATCCATGGAGGGAACTAACACCAACAGTACACAAAGTATTGTGTCATGGTCAAATAATAATTGAATCGAATATTCTTCCACTTGGAGAGTTAACAGAAGAAGCCCAGGAAGCGAGGAATCGAGATTTTAAGCATGTTCAACTATTCAGCTCAAGAAAATGCTCCAGGCAATCACAGAATGAAGATATTTTTAATAGTTTACTTCTATCTTCTGATCCTGTTCTTTCAACTATGCGAAAAAGATGGATTTGTTATGAAACTCTATCATCTCAAAACAAGGAAGATTTAAAGGACTTATATTACCTTCTGGATATGTATACCGATATGACAGATTATTTTATAGAAAATAAGTAGTGTTAGGAATTAACTATATAAGTAGGTTGTAAGAATTAATTGTATTATGTTTAAGATAAACAGTTCAAATAAAAAAAGCTATTATACTAACTGATGATATTGTATTAAATTGTGTTTTATATTTCGGTGGGCGGGAAAGGTAATTTGTGTGGGGTGATTTAGGTGTTGTTGTGCGTGGCTCATAATAAAATTATAATTTTTTTTATTGTACATACAATATTATAATAAAATAATTAACTAAATAATTTTTAAAAATTGTCCAAATATTTTATTCAACACCAAATGTATGTTCTGTCATACTTAATACTAAAATATGAAAAATATGAAATTAAAGGACACAGATTTAAATGAACATATTTTTGAATGTAATTGAGATATTGGCTTGAAATTTTTTGTAAAGGGTCGAGAATTTCCATATCTAACGAAAAAATGATATTAAGGGATAAATATGGACTAAATTGTTGTAGCTATCTGCGACCCTATTAAAATTTTGATATAAATCATAGTTTTAGAAATTAAACAAATATGTAATATATGACAAAATCTTTATTTATGAACAAAACTCAATGAAATTTTCAACGCTTGTTAAATTTGTCATTTTAAATAAGAATAAGAATATTTTAAATAGGAATGAAAATCCCAAAAATGGGATTTTTTACTTTTTTGCCCATAGGGTCCACATTTCTTTCAGGGCTGGGAAAATACTTTTGGAGTAAATAGAAAACATATTGAGGTTTCCAAAACTGCTTTCAGTTTTCTGATCCCATCTTTGGGATTTTAGAACATATCGCCCAAAGTTGAAGTTCTGATAAAAAATAGGTCATATTCGGAAGGACGCAGTGGCAACATTTTCAAAAAATCGGACAAGTTTTTTACGCCAAAGCGTTCTGCGTAAAGATACCTTTTAGAAAACTATAAAATTGTTATATGTTCTTAAAGAAAATTTTATTTTAATAATAAAAGAGTTAAGACACATTTTTGGCAAAAAAACGCCAAAAATCTAAAATTTTTGGAATTTTTAAATTAAAAAACGTATATTTTTGGATCTGTAAATGATATTGATCTGAAATTTTTTGTATATTATTGGAAATTTTGTTGTCTAACTAACAAGAAAACAAAAAAATGGCACGAGCGCCGTCCCTGGGGCATCTGCAGGGTTCATCTTCAAAACTTAAACTCGAATACTCCTTGGCTACACTCACGCCAAATTTTATCCCGATCGGATCAGCCGTTTAGAAATGCCAGATTTATTTCCAAAAAATTTCCATTCTGCCCCACTGTGCGATGTTAAAACACACGTTAACATAAAGAACCGAGGAAACAGTATATTATGATATTGGGAATATCATTTACAATTCAAATTTTTAAAAATAAATACAAACGCAGTTTAAGAAATCTCAGCTAATGTCCCCAGTGTTATACTGTGAATCCTTTCTATTATTTTTTCCAATGCCAAATTTTTTAAATACCAATAAAATACTAACTTACAAACCTTTTATTTAAGATACAAATCATCAAATTGTAACGGGGACTTTTTGAGAAAATTTAGTTTTCACCACTATATAAAGTCGTTTCTATTATTTTTTCTACCACTCTTTGACCCAATTTTAATAAAATTGGGGAAATTGGTAGATTTAGTTACACTAAATATGCCAATGGGTATTACTTGGAACTCCGGCACAAAGGACTATTTTGGGTACCTTTTAGTTTTTTAACTGGTACTTTTTGAGTTTTCTATAATATTCAACCTAGAAATATGAAATCTATGAAATGGGACCTTTCTGGTACTTTTTCGTACTTCGCCTGGTACTTTTTGAGTTTTCTATAAAATTGAACCTTGAAGCATGTAATTAAGCATGTAGAGCCTGGAGTAAACTGAATTATAAAAGGTGACTTATTGGTACTTTTTCGTCCTTCGCCTGGTACTTTTTGAGTTTTTTATAAAATTGAACCTAGAAGCATGAAGATCTTGGGAACATCTTGGTACTTTCTCGTACTTCAACTCGTATTGTTGGAGTTTAAATTAAATACAATATTGAACCTAAAAACATAAAATTGGACACGCAGCTTCCTGATTGTTTAAAACTCTGTATAATTTACAATGGTAATATTTAGTCAAGGGTAGCGGAGCACACTGGGTATAGCGAGTTGAAAATAAAATAGTAATTGAAGTGATAGTTAGTGTGGCTTTAAAATATGTACATATCTAGTTAGTAGTACATTTATCTAGTTTGTAAGTAATTCTTATTGGAATAAAATTAATATTGTTACTTTATTGCTGTAGATCAAACCCTTTCCAAGAGAGAATTGCAAATATCAGTTCGTTCTCTCAATCTCATTTTGGTCAGAAATGAGTCTGAATTATCGAAAGCCAATATTTCATGTGCGATCTTGCATATTAATAAGGAAGATGTAATAAAATCAATAGATGGACGATTGGGATCTATTTCTTTATATGACTTAACACCATATGGCTATTTGTATCAAGAAAAATTTTCCACATCTGGGACCGAGGCATTAAGTTTTACATATAACAGGTATGTTTACCGTGATATTGATATTCCGTAATATAGACAAATTAAAACTGTTAAAATTTTCTACTAATATTACTAATAAAATTATTTTGTAATCCAAATAAATTTTTAATTATGAATGTAATCATTCAAAACAAAAACATGGTAATGACTTGAACTTACTCAACAATTTACTCTTCAATGACTTCTACATACACAGAACCAAAAATTTACCTAAATACTGCAAAATGGGGTGTAAATATGAAGTCCACCCATTTATATTATATTGATATTCCCGGGAATTATTTTCCTTAGTTTTATGTGACATTTTTGACAAAACTTATTGTTTACAATAAATATATTGATTTGAAATGTTAAATTCAGAGAAGATATATTAAAAGGTTATAAAAATTGGGAAACAAAATACTAATACATTATTATTTTAAACATTTTGATTTTGTGAAATATCCGCTTTTTGTGAGATACTATAGGCACCTTTAGTTTGATTGAGAGGTTTATATGGGCAGACATGCAGACAGAGCCGATTGCTATTAATTGTACAACGCTCACTATAGTGTAGGGAATAAAAATCATTCCGATTTTTCGATCTTTGAGATTTGTACATAACATACATTCATTTCACAGTAAGACAAAATTAACGAAAATTTAAATACCTAGGAGTGGAACAAGAATCTATTTTTGAAATCTGCCAAACACCTCCAAAATCTTAAGATACTACACAACTATTTTAAAAAATCGGATTTCGGGATTTTTGATATTTTTACTTTTTGAAAAAATAATTTTACCGGTTTTAAAGCAATGCACAGTGGGGCAGAATGGAAATTTTTTGGAAATAAATCTGGCATTTCTAAACGGCTGATCCGATTGGGATAAAATTTGGCGTGAGCGTAGCCAAGGAGTATTCGAGTTTAAGTTTTGAAGATGAATCCTGCAGATGCCCCAGGGACGGCGCTGTGGCGGCTCAAAGTAGGGTACCTACGACATTTTTTTGTTTTTCACCCAAATACAAAGATTTTTATATTTTCTGAAAGCGCTCGACGAGATCTTGAAAAAACATGCTTGGACATACTACTTATCTCTTATAATATCAGAGTTATAGGCATTTAAAAATTTAGTGATACAAAATTTACCATACCTTGGTCCGCCTTTTTTTTTGAATACCGGGCGTAATTTTGGACCAATGGACTCAATTTTTTCTTGTTAGTTAGACAACAAAATTTCCAATAATATACAAAAAATTTCAGATCAATATCATTTACAGATCCAAAAATATACGTTTTTATACCCTCCACCACCATCAGTGGTGATAGAGGGTATATATAACTTTGTGTGTAACACCAAGAAATATTCATCTGAGACCCAACAAAGTATATATATTCTTGGACCTTATGAAATTCTGAGTCGATTTAGCTATGTCCGTCTGTCTGTCTGTCTGTATAAAACATTCTCACGTTAACACGAAGCAACAGAAATGAACGAACTTCACACAAAATATTTATTATTGTCCTAGGCAGTTTGGTATTGAAAATGAGCAGAATCGGTTTAACGCGGGAAAAGTTATGAATCAAAATTTGAAACAACCTCGAAAAAAATAAGCGTTTTTTACACATTCTGATATAAGTTTCTCGAAAACTATGCAAGGTAATTCCATGAAAATCACCATACATTCGTTTCTATATAAGAGCTTGATCCCTGCTGAAAATTGTTAGAATCAATCCACAATTTCATATACCTCCCATACAAAAGTACATATTCCCGGAAAATGGGTTTTTTGTTAATAACTTCCGTCAGAATGTAGATATCTTCACAAAATTTCACAAATTAAAATCGTATGTCAATAGAAATCATTCAGAGAAAAAATTTTCTGGATCGGCCCATAATTGGACATAGCTCCCATACAAGGTCCCCTCCCGAAAATCACTTAAACGCGCATAGCTCATTACTTAATTAAGATATCCATATAAAATTTGCTATAAGTATTGCCCATATGCACAGAAATATTACTGTGAAAGTTTCTTGCGATCGGTCCATAATTGGTCATAGCTCCCATACAAGGTCCCCTCCCGAAAATCACTTAAACGCGCATAGCTCATTACTTAATTAAGATATCCATATAAAATTTGCTATAAGTATTGCCTATATGCACAGAAATATTACTGTGAAAGTTTCTTGCGATCGGTCCATAATTGGTCATAGCTCCCATACAAGGTCCCCTCCCGAAAATCACTTAAACGCACATAACTTATTACTAAATTAAGATATCCATATAAAATTTGGTATAAGTACTACTCATATGCACAGAAATATTATTGTGAAATTTTTTCCCGATCGGTCCATAATTGGTCATAGCTGCCATACAAGGTCCCCTCCCGAAAATCACTTAAACGCGCATAACTCATTACTTATTTAAGATATCCATATAAAATTTGGTATAAGTATTGCCCATATGCACAGAAATATTACTTTGGAAGTTATTTCCGATCGGTCCATAATTGGTCATAGCTCTCATACAAGGTCCCCTCCCGAAAATCACTTAAACGCACATAACTCATTACTAAATTAAGATATCCATACAAAATTTGGTATAGGTACTACTCATACGCACAACTGTGAAAGTTTTTTACGATCGGTCCATAATTGGTCATAGCTCCCATACAAGGTCCCCTTCCGAAAATCACTTAAACGCGCATAACTCATTACTAATTTAAGATATCCATATAAAATTTGGTATAAGTATTGCCCATATGCATAGAAATATTACTGTGAAAGTTATTTCCGATCGGTCCATAATTGGTCATAGCTCTCATACAAGGTCCCCTCCCGAAAATCACTTAAACGCGCATAACTCATTACTAAATTAAGATATCCATATAAAACTTGGTACAAATATTACTAAAATGCTCAGAAATATTACTGAGAAATTTTTTTCCGATCGGTCTATAACTGGTTATAGCTCCCATACAAGGTACCCTCCCGAAAATCACTTAAACTCGCATAACTCATTACTTAATTAAGATATCCATACAAAATTTGGTACAAGTATTGCTTATATGCACAGAAATATTACTGAGAAATTTTCGCTACATAACTGGTCATAGCTCCCATACAAGGTCCCTTCCCGAAAATCAGTTAAACGCACATAACTCATTACTAAATAGAGATATCCATATAAAGTTTGGCAGAAGTATTGCTCATATACAGAGAAAAATTATTGTGAAATTGTTTCATATCGGTTCATAATTGATCATAGCAGCTATACAAGGTCACTTTCAGAAAAACACTTAAAGGCACATAACTCATTACCAAATAATGATATAAATAAATACTACATATTTTTACAATGTTCCCTCCCGAAAATCACTTAAAAAAATATAACTCATTACCAAATCTTGATATCCATACATTTAGCAAAAATATTGCGCTTATATACATAAATACACTATAAAATTGTTTTACGATCGGTCCCCTCCAGAAAATCACTTAAATGCACAATATTAATTACCAAATAATTATATAGATACAGAATTTTGAAATTTTGTCTTTATATACATAATTGGTCATAGCTCCCATACAAGGTCCTTTTACGAAAATCTCTTAAACGCACATTACTCATTACCAAATAAAGCTATACTAAATTACGATATAGATACAAAGTTTGACTGAAATATAGCTTTTATGTACAGAAATTTTACTTAAAGAATTTTTTACGATCGGTCTATAATTGATCTTATCTCCCATACTAGGAACTGCCCCTAAAAGCGCTTTAACCTTATTTAACTATTTGCATTATCAATTTGTGTAGAACAAAATTATATATATGTATGTATTTTGAAAATTCTTAAATCTTTCACACACATGCACACATGCAAATTATTAAATATTGCTAAGCGCTATTAAAATATTAAGACATGAGAAGACTTATTTCTACAAATATTTGATCAATTAGAAAAGTATTAATATAAAAGTAGCTGGTGGAGGGTATTTAAGATTCAGCTCAGCCGAATATAGCACTCTAACTTGTTTAATTTAAAAATTCCAAAAATTTTAGATTTTTGGCGTTTTTTTACCAAAAATGTGTCTTAACTCTTTTATTAATAAAATAAAATTTTCTTTAAGAACATATAACAATTTTATAGTTTTCTAAAAGGTATCTTTACGCAGAACGCTTTAGCGTAAAAAACTTGTCCTATTTTTTAAAATGTTACCACTGCGTCCTTCCGAATATGACCTATTTTTTATCAAAACTTCAACTTTGGGCAACATGTTCTAAAATCCCAAAGCTGGGATCAGAAAACTGAAAGCAGTTTTGGAAACCTCAATATGTTTTCTATTTACTCCAATAGTATTTTCCCAGCCCTGAAAGAAATATGGACCCTATGGTCAAAAAAGTAAAAAATCCCATTTTTGGGATTTTCATTCCTATTTTTGGGAATTGCGGGATGCCCTTTGACCTTTTCAATTTTTTTTGCATTTTCTTATTTGAAATGACAAATTTAACAAGCGTTGAAAATTTCATTGAGTTTTGTTTATAAATAAAGATTTTGTCATATATTACATATTTGTTTAATTTCTAAAACTATGATTTATATCAAAATTTTAATAGGGTCGCAGATAGCTACAACAATTTAGTCCAAATTTATCCCTTAATATCTTTTTTTAGTTAGATATGGAAATTCTCGATTTTTTACAAAATTTTCAAGCCAATATCTCAATTACATTCAAAAATATGTTCATTTAAACCTGTATCCTTTAATTTCATATTTTTCATATTTTAGTATTATATATGACAGAACATATTTAAATCTTATATTTACCTATTTTATATTTGTTTGCTTATCCTTATAATTGAAAGGTCCTATTATGCTTAAATTTTCAGAAATTTATAACTATTTTTTACCTAAATTTTTTCGACAGATCATTTCGTTCTGTTTCGTTTATGATCATGTAGGTAAAAATATACAGGTAATGATAATTTCGATTCATTCACTAATAAGAAATATTAA